ATTTTGCTTTAGAAAACATCAGTATCTATAAAGCCGCCAAATTTCTTGAGAGGCAAGCTAGGAAAACTTAGCTTGAACTAATTTTTGCTGTCTACATATTTATTTTGTCACACAAAGGTTGTAAAATTCTCTTACCGGGCATAACTGGTTTGCTGGTTGGTTTTATTGCATATGCATCTGAATTCAGTCAGCATTATGATGCCTTGTACAAGGATTTCTAATTGCTTGACTACTCAGTTTTTCTTCTATGATTAATCTGGTTAATTCTCTTGAATAGATTCTATTTTTTTTCTATGTTTCCGATAAACTTAAGTATTTATCCCTAGTCATGGAGCCAAGGTATCTTCAATCAACTGTTTTTATGCATAATTAAGTTATTCGAATCCCTTTCTCAGGAAAAAATGTCCGAGTCTCCACATGTGAAAATTGAAAGGGAAAATATAGCCATCTTTATTTTATTATTTCATATCTGAACACACTGTTCACTAACTAGAGTATCTGATGATAACTATATCTGGTCAATAGACCTTAATCTCTCTTAACAAACAAAACCTAGAAAGCCATAGAAACATATAGAATTAGGATAAAAATAAAATATAAAATCAAACAAAAGCATGCTAAATAATTAATAAAATCCTCCTAAGACTTAGAGGTGAAGTTGAAGTTGGCACAAGTTGTTTGTCTAAACAACAGGGAAGAGCTGAAGCCCAGTCTTGAAGCAGCAAGATCGAACTGTAGGAGATTGTCCTCCAATTGGTGGCCTCCAATGACAATTGAAGTCCTAGGATTCACTCCTCCATCCACAAATCCAAGGCACAACACATCATCTTTAACCTGCACCATTGAGTTTGCACCAAAAATCCTCCAGTAAACATTCTTGCTTTGCAGGACAAGATCAATTTGAGGCACTGCTGGGCCAACGCGTGTGCCGACAATGTTCTTTGAGTTGAAACATGCTCCGAAAGGTGCTACAGATGCCACCCTAGGGACATTGGCTTTGGCTAGCTCTCTGACAAAAGAGTCAGTGACAGCATTGTAGATTGTTGTTTCCATCACCGTGTAAGCATTTACTGTGCTAATCTTGGTTCCACCATAGCCTTCTTTGTTAATGGACAGCAATGAAGCGTTTAATGGAACAACATTTTCATTGATCTTGATGGACTTGACTCCAATGAAGTAATCAGTGGAAGGCTCTCCTTCAAAGTAACCAGATGCTGTGCTTACAGGGTTGAGAATTAATGGGGTGTAGATGAGGGACTGAGAAAGATCATCAGCATGTGGAAGCAAAACATAAGGTCCATCTCCAAAGATAACAACACCTTTAGCATTTGAAGAGGTCAAGCAAATGGCAAACTTTCTAGGAAAGCTAAAAGCAGCAGAGAATTGAGAAGGAAGTGAGATCTTAGTCCTTCCAAGTCCAGCCATGCCCTTGACTCCCTTAGCAAGACCTTGTAGGATAAATGTTGGAGCACAACTGAAGAGGAAATTAGGGACTGAAACAACTCTGCCTGGATTTGATCCATCAGTAGATTGAATGGAAACAACATCCTGGGTAAGGTAATCAGAAGTGCCAGTGCGTGTCGCAGTGTTGTCAGGGGATAAAACACACAGTTTTTTGTCGACAGTGCATGTCTTAAGCCTATAGACTGCAAGGGAGCACTGAGCAGTGTTGCAGCTTGGATTTTTTTTAGATGAAGAGACATATCCTTGCTGACAATCAACCCAAAGATATTGACCACCGAGATCAAGAGTCACCTCTACAGGCACTAGAGGGGTTCTTTGGTTAATTTGGGCAAGGTATTGGAGACTTGATGGATCTTTTGATACAGGAAGGACTAATGCTTTAGGCCTGAATGTTGTTTGTGCTATAGAAGGGGGACTGAATATAAGAAAAAGAGAGCAAAAGAGAAGAAGAAAATTACGAGTGAGAGCCATTGTTTATGTTAAGATAATTGTTGATAGAGTTGATGCGTGGAGGAGAAGTACAGTGGGTTCAGAGTCTATTTATAGCTTATTGTTGGTGTAAATATATAGTGGCTATGTCAAGGATGGCAACTTGAGGTCACGTATGCCGGCTTACGATGGTGTGTTGTATAATATTGACCCTTTGACCTTCTATATCTTTCCTTGTGCGCCGATTTTATTCGAAATTAGGAAGTGATGTGTGTAGTAGCTCTTGATTTAAATTAAGGGATTTGATGAAAGAAGAAAGAAGCAAATTAAGAGAATTAATTTCTTGTTATTATAGACAGTAAAAGTTACTCTTGGAATTGGGTAGCGGGGGATTATTTATATATATATATATATGGGAAATGTAATAATACAATTACAGATTGCCCCTCAATATAGTCTTTGTAGTTTTTAAACAATAAAAATACCAAAATGCCCGTTACGTTAAGGAATATATATATCCGGTGTCTAGGGGCAGTTTCAGTTTTTTTGCTTTTGAATACATACTGAAATTACTTTAATGCCTCTGAAAAAAATCTATGGTCAATGGTCTTTTTTATCTTGTCAAGTTAGTGTTTTTGTTATTTATTATTTTGTTGAGGGCATCATGATCATTTAATTTATAAATGTATAGCAAAATTATTTAATTGTTATTGAGGTTATTAAAAAAACCTTTTTTCCAGGTTTTTCAGCCTTTTAAATATTAGTTTTTTTCTGTTATTTATAAATTTACAAAGTTATTAATATCCGACTTAAATGTGCTAATGCGTGAGAAGTATTTTTAAATGGTAAAACTTGTTCTTTTATCATGTCATTAGAAGCATTGCTATTTTTTTTTTATGATGTGATATGTGTCATGGTGGTGGAATTATGGTGGGATAATTTGTTTCTAGTGGATTTTTTTTTTCTTCCCTTCTCATCAAATTAAATATTTGTCCTTTTTATTCAAGTTTTTTCAACTTTGTTCCTCTTTCATTTGATTTTTAATTTTTATCCTACGATCTTTTGTAAATATTTTTTTTTAATTTGGTCTTTTAATTTCTCTTTTCATATATTGATGTTTTCAATTTGATTCTTATTCTTTTGATTCATGATTTTTTTTCTTTGGTTTTTTTAAAGTTTTATTGTTTTCAATTTCATCATTCAATCTAAATTTATATTATATTATTTTTATTATTTTGATCATTTTTTTTTATTTTTTTCTTTTTATTAATGTTTTTTTCCTTTCAATTCAACCCTCAGATTAAAAATTTGTTATTTTTCTCTAATTTATTTTTTATTTTGATTTTAACCACTCAATTCTTTTAATTGCTATTTTTTATATTGAATATTTTTATGTTATTTTTTTTTATTTTATCCTTTAATGTTTCATTTCTTAGAATTGGACTTTATGAACATTAGTTTGATAGTCTTGATTACAAGTTTAAAAAGTTAATGAAGGTTGATATCTTTTTTTATCTTATTTTTTTTATATCATCGTTTGACCTTTTTTTTTTGTCAGATCATCCCAACTATATAACATAGGATATAAGTTTAGCAAGTTAATTCAAATTAAGTCACCCTTAATGCCCATATTATATCTATCATGTTAATTCGGGTTGGCTCGCTAGATTATTTTATCTTTTTTTTTTGTTTATTTATTTTTAATTGGTTAAAAATTAAATAATATTATGTTCTTGCTATTGGATAAAGAATTTTTCCCTCAGATTATCGTGATTTTTTTTCTTCATTTACTATCATTGCCCTTCTTTTTCTTATAATTCAAATATAGCCAACTTATTAAGGATATTATAAAACTAATTTAGGGATATTCTCAAACTAATTTATAGTTCATTTTTTCCTTTTATTTTCTAATTTATAGTCCATATATATATATATGGGCGGGACATATTTGTGTTTTTGGAAGCATTCATTAGGATCAACTAACCCCGGTATGATGAGATCAAAACAAGGCCAGGGCTTGTCAAATTATCAGCTTATCAAATCTTTATATCCACAGTAAGTGGAACTCTTCCTAAGTTCCTCCTCTTCACTTTACACGAGAAAGGGGAGCAATTCTTGGGGAAACTACTTAGCAATCAATAGCTTGAAAATCACTCGTAAATCTAGAACTATGGTACAAGCAGACAATTCATTCATCTCACTGTTTCCTTCTTAACCTTTGGCATACCAGTTTCCTCACCATCCTAAGATGTATTTTCTAACAAATGATAATACCCTTGAAGAATGGCTTTAAATCTACTAATCACCATGTAAGAAGCACAAGAAAACCTAGTGCAAGCACATCGAACGCGGTCTCAAGAAGAAAGGAAGGGCTTTGGAAGCATACTTTCCCATATGGCTGTGCTGTCCACTAACGGAAAATTGATCCTATTCATCGCTTGTCATTCTGCCATGAGCAGCTCCTCTTATATAAGTACCGATATCGGCTCTCATGCTCTCGTGCTTTTTTCCAGGTCCTGTAAACTAGCGTAGAGGTGAGAATCAAGTCCGGAAAACTGTCTTCTCCAACTTCCTTCTCGAAAAGAGATTTTGTCTCGTATTCTGGCTATCTATTCACTATCGCTGTTTTTCTCAGATTTCCCATGTATTTAGCATAGAAAAAGTAAAAAAATCCAAGCACATATTTTTCCTTTCTTTTCTCCATAACTTCTCTGCAACTTTTAAACCTGTCGCCCCAATGCCCAAGACTAAAGCTACTTTCTAAGTTCTAAAACCATAAGAAAATTTCCCAAAAAAAAAAAAGCCAGTATCGAATAAAGTTAGTTAGCCATATCTATATATATAAACAGAGCATGTTTCTCCTGCTAAATTAGTAGACATTTTTCTTTTTTCCCCCAACGTTATGCAAACCCAAGTCATGCTCCTGCCTCCTAGTATTTCAAATTCAAGTTCCAATTCGTGCTATTATCTAAGAGGACAGAAGGGTTCCAATTAGGCAATTACAAATAAATAAATAGATATAACCCATGTGAAAACACAACCCAAAATTTCAAATCGCTATGATCTCATTTATTGGTTGTCGTACAAGTGAAATAAGCTTGGCCGCATCAAAGTCATTCTCAATTTTCTTATATACACACCATATACCGCATCAAACAATGAGCAATCTAAACAACAGGTATTAGCCGGACAATGGTACCGGATTTGAAATGAGCATCAACGAAAAAGTGAATGTCCAAGCCAAGTAATGAAACAAATAGTTGAAAAAAAAAGATGAGTGATTAACATTTTCATGAGGCCTGAAACAGATACTACCAGTCAACCATTAACTTCAATTCTTCTTCAGCTAATTCTCTTGTTTGAAAACGAAAGATGAAAGGGCAGCTCTCCATCCATACATGGCTGATGGTTCATGCTTTTTGGGTGTGAGAGTAGCCAGACCTACCCCCGTGCTTTGACTGGGTACAATTCTCTGTGGGGCACTAGTCTCCGCAGATCTAGGAAACATATCAGCAAGCGCATTATTAAATTTCCACAGGTATTCAACTAGAAAGGTGTTTTCATACTGCATCCCTATTAAAATTCAATGCCTAATGTGCCAAATTGAGAGCTACTTGTCAACATAAACTGTTCTCAACTGAACTAGTAATGTCCATGCCTTTACTCAATGAGTGCAACACAAGCGCAAAAACACATGCACAAGCCCAAAAAGAGATCAAGACTAGACCAATATCACTTCAGAATGATATGATTGAGATTCTTCAAAAAGAGCAAAGGAATTTTAACATCGCGATGGCATGAAACCAACTTAATGAATCATGCATATCTACTAGCGCAAGACTGTACAGGACTCTCCAGCTTATAAATTAGTTTGTATTTCTGTAGTGTAACAGACAAAAATGAAGAGACAAGATACTGGTCTCCATGATTGATATATGGTTGTGTCCCTAGTAACTTTTGTGCAGGAGGCCATCGGTAACTTCAAGCGGCTCAGAGCTCTTCAGCAAGGGACAAAGTATCGTATGATATCTAGGGTCTTTTTTTGTATAATAATGATATCTAGGGATTGCCAGCAATCCAAAATACGGATCAATCAATTGACAAGATGGCTTATTTGTGGCAAAACAGAACAAGTACAAAAAAGGTCAACAACAGCCCTTACAGTTTCAGATTCTATAAACATGCCAAAACTTTTAAGAAGGAAATCAATCTCCAAAAGAATATATGTTAACCAACATATTAACCCAAATTCATCTCAAGCATGCCATATAAACAAGATACCAGACTTTTAATAAGAGGAAATCAAATAATTGGATGCTTAAAAGTGTTAAAAAAACCTATACAATGAAAAAAGAAAGCGTTTAAAATCACAAGCATCTGAAAATAAAAATAAACCAAATTAAAGAGATAGAGGGAGTACACACATGAGTCCACCATAAGCAAATGTTGAGAACCCTTGACGTTGCTTGTGCTTGGGATTAGAGCTACAGATTACATATATCCGTCCACGACGCTTAACTATCTGACAAAATTCACACATCTTCTTCACTGATGATCTCACCTTCATAGCTACTGCGAATATGAAAAAAATCAAGAAACCGTCAAAACAAATTCAAACCTATCATTTGATTAAGAACCACTTCACCAAAAGCATCACAAAAACTGAACTTTTGACTCCTTTCAAGATTTAAAGGCAACAAAACCATATCTAACCTAAAATGCCACTTATCGAGCAAATTCACTGTACATATGATCCTAAGCCCCAACATTAAGAAATAAACATGCCCATTATTTGCTTAAGCACCCATTTACAAAAACCTTAATAAAAAAATTATAATTTTAGCACTCCAAGATTAAATTGCAACCAACCCATCTCTTAAAACAACCCTAAAATTAACAAAGCAGATAACTCTACGTACACTACTAAGAAAAAAATACATGGGTTTCATTGGTTTTTGGAATTCTAACTCTCAATGCCAAAAGCCAAGTTAAGAAAAATAAAAATGATAGCAAGATCTTCAAACACACATAAATATTACATTAAACTTGATTTAATGTAGAAAAAAGAGTATAGAGAGAACCAACAGTGGGGTTGTGGCGAGGAGTCTGGAGATTAACGGGCGTGTTGAAACAAAGAAGAAGGAACTGTTGAGGGGGAGAATGAGGGAGGTTGAGATAATTTGCTGACAAGAGCGCCAATAGCGTTTCAGTATTTAGGGTTTAAACTATGTATGTATTGTAACAAATTGTTTTTCGAAGTCATGTTCGAGTCATAAATAAAAAGTTTAAAATTATCTTGATTTAAGAGATTAAATTTAAAATAGTTTTTTACCCAATTTTAATAACTCTATATCCATTTTTTTGGAACAATTTTCTATTTAATAATATTTTCTTTCATTTAGTTACATTATAAAAAAAACCATTTGTCTAAGTTTTTTTAATAATTATAAATTTTCTTTTATTGCAATATACTATTCCCAAAAAAATTTAAAAACTAAAACAAAAAAGGACAACGGGATGAACATGCATGGGACCCGATAAGTTTGAATTCCGTCACTTTACCACTTGCACAGATCGGCAATTGTTGATTCAATTACAATTATATATATTCTTTTTTCGAAAAAACAAAAACTTCCAAAACTATAGTGACTTTCAAGGAAGAAAAAAGAAAATAAGAGGATTAGAACAAATGTTTTCAAAAATTCTAGAGTTTTATGATTTTTTCTCTTTCTCTTTAATGAAATCATCTTGTTTTTATGTTCAATTAGTTAATTTAACTTCGATTAATTTAGATTTTTTTTTATTTTTTTATTTTATCTTTCATTATTTAGTTTATTTGATAATTAACCTTTAATGTTTTATTTAATTTTTTTATATGGAGTTATTTCGGTCTCACAACCGATCCATGAATATGGTATGCTAACATAAGTTATTTTTTTATTTTTTTAAAAATTAATTTATTTTTTTGGGTTTGACCTTTGATGTTTGATTTCTAATAATATAACTTTATTTTTTAATGAGATTATCTTATTTTTATTTAACTTTTTATTTTGTTATTAAATAAAATTATAGAAATCTCTTAAAAATACTTTGATAATATCTTTTCATAATATTAACAAATATTTTTTTTTTCAAAAGGGGATTAACAGTGAACGAGAATATATTCATAGAGACTACTTTGGCTACAAATCTTAGAATTGATGGTCGCAATCGTGTTGAGTATAGTCAAACTAGCAGCAAGTTGCTTATTAGGACCCTTTATTCTTCTTCTTCTTTTTGTATTTATTATGCTTTTGAGTTCATGTTTCACCTTTCAAGCTCCCTTTGGTTTTACACATTTGACTGTATTGTCATGCCTGTTTTTCATTATCAAGAGGTTGCTGTAGTTCTGGTTTCAATGGCGCATAGGAGCTGCAAGAGGAAAGGAAAAATATGGTTTCTTTGGTGATTGTGCCATAATTCCCAGTGTCTTGCCATAGTTTGGTTTCAAAAGCTTTAGTGACTGCCCGAACACTAGATGATAGATGGCATTTGTGGCTTGGAATTTCTTTTACAAAACCATGATTTTGGATGACTGATGCCAAGTGGTTTTTCTGAAACAATACCTCTTGGCATGGTAAAATCAATGATTAGTTATAGAGAAAAAACTAAAATATATGGATATTGGGACTTCAACGACTCTGCCTACTGCTTCGATCAGCTTCTTATAAGGAAGACAACGACCTCTTATCTCTTTCCTTTTATATGGAGACAGCCGGCGGAAAACATGACTAGTTAAAGAGAAAAAATTAAAATATATGGAAAAATCACTGTATGCATTTGTTCATTATAGATTGTAACATTGAAATAATTATGATCTTTTTCTTGAAAAAACACTACCTTTTTAGTAGTAAAATGTTATTTTATTTTTTTTATTTGTCATTTGAGAATTGCCCTAATGTCTTTTTATTATATTTTTACTTAGGAAAATGATTTTGCTACATTTAAAAGCAAAAACTCATTTAACTTTGTTCAATGGTTTTCAGGCATTTCTTCTTCTTCTTTTTTTCTGCTATAATATAATTACTCTATTATTCTTAAATTTAAATTTAAAAAAATAAAAAATTATTAATGCATGCATTCAATGTGTTGGCCACTTCTTTATCTTAAAGTGGTGCGTGCGGCTAATTTTAATAGTATAAATTTTGATTTTACCATGTCTTTTGATTGGTCTCACCCTTTTCTCCCTCCTCCTTATGTAATGTGCGTAGTCGTTAAATTTTTGTTGCCTTGCCAACATCCTCTTCTTTCTTTTTTCTTTTCTCTTTATATCTGAAAAATTGTGTCTAGCCCTCCATCATTTTCATATCATCCATTCAAGTTATTTCTCTTTGGACTTTGTCCCTCATTTTTTTCTATTTTTATTTGTTTTATTTTATTCATTTATCAATTTATTTATTTTGCTATTCAATTGCATCCACTTTTAATTTTTTTTATATATTAGATTTAGTCCTTATTCTTTTATTTTTTTTCTATTTAAGATAGTTTTTAAATATCTTTTTTTAATATCACCCCTTTTTTTTTCTCTTTTTATATTTGATTCTCATTCTTTTTCCTTTTTTTTTGTTTTCGTTGATTTAATTTTTTTAGTTTCATCATTTAGAATGCAATTAGTTGACAATTGGAATTCTTAATTGAACCTAGGTTTTCAATTTCATGGATTGTGAATTTAAAATATTAACTAAGATTTAGAAGATTCACCTGGATTAATTAGTATGGGTTGAAACAATCAATTTACCAGTTTTTTCTATAATAGTTTTCATACTTGCACAACTTCAATTACTGTGAATTAGCTATTTTTTAATTGATTGAGGTTATTGTTATTTTGTATTCTTTTTTTGCAAAGTTAAATAACTATAATGCCCATAAAAGCAAAATAATACTTAACTTGGGTTTAAAGTCTTTTTTAAAAAAAATAATAATTCACTTTTAAAGCTTGAATTTAACTGCTTAATCATCAAATTTAAGGCAATTTGATCTTTAACTTGATATTGATAACAAGTATAAAAAATATTTTATTTTCCCTTCATTTCATGCTTTGATATTGGATTGATTAAGACATAAACTTTGTAAATGATTTTTTTCTATTTTATTTAGAGTTATTATAGTCTCTAACCAACATTTATTTTAGAATTGATACTTGAAATTGTGAACATTTAATTTTTATTATATAATTAAGTAAAAATTATTAAACTTAGCTAAATTCATGAATCAAATTGTGTGTAATTAAAGTTATTTAATATGTTAGTGTTTACTTTTTTTAAAAAAAATTCTTTTTGTTTCTTTTTTAAATTGATTAATGTTTTTGTTAAAAAAAATTCTTCTTGTTTTTTTTTAAAAATAATCAATGCTTTTGTTAGTCATTCAAGTTTCATTTGAATTATTAAATAAATTAATTTATGTTAAGTTAACTCTTTAAATGATTTAATCGAAAACTCATTTAATCGAAAACTCACGTCTAGAAAATAATCAAAGTTAATGGATTTTAAGATTTATCTTCTTGTTTAAGTTTAAACATTGTAAAAAAATCCCCACACTCTTTATGTTTTTATTATATATATTTTTTTAAATTAGTTGGGTCCACAGCGGGTCACAAATTTAAAATCCAAACACTTGGAGACTTGTGGCTAGGTCCACGAAATTGGCATCCTAAAGCTCTTCAGCCTTTTCATATGTATTCTCGGTTCAAGGCTCACTAAGATTAAATTTGGGCCAAGATAAGCACATTGAAGTTCAAAAACACTTGTTAGGCACAAATCCAATCTTGATTGGAGAACTTCCTTCTGGTTAGCCCAAGGTTCACGTCGACCCCTACAGAGGCCTCCTTTCGTTACAAAAAGAAATGAAATGCTTCTCGTCTATCACAATGGAGTCACGCAAATCTAGTAAGATAAATTATGATCAACAAAGATTCTACATACAACATCAACTACGCAAACGATGAGTATTTACTCTAAATATGCAATAGATCTTCAAAGATTGTGGACTAAGGAGTGGCTTAACATTTGAGTAAAAATTAAGGGATCTAAAATAGTTGATGCGATTCAATAAGCAATAAAGCCGAAAGTTCACTTGGGAAAGAGTAGACTGGATCAATAATTCCGTCAAATCTCCATAACTTTTGTTATTGCCAATCCAGAGATTAATTCCACCTTAAGATCTCACATAGATCCGGAAATAAAGAATGAAAATAATAAAGAACATGAATTTCTTACATCCTAAAGTAGTAAGGTGGTTAGAAGTACGTACGAAGTTAGATATTTGGCAGTTAAAATTTGTTGGCAAATTAGAAACAAAAGCGTGCATCATTCGCATTCTTAATTAATATTGGTGTCCTTCATCATGTTAGGGAAGTTCCAACATGTAGCCAAAGCCACATCAAGCAACGTCATTTGGAGCCAATGAAGTACAAGAACTACAACATTAATCTTAATCAAATGTTTCACGTCACTAATCCTTATCTTCATAGCACCGGCTTTTACCATCTTATAATTAATGAACTAATCAATCGATACTTACCAAGAGAGCAAATTAATTAGACGAGGATGAGCCTACCCAACACGCACCTACCTCTCCCACCATAGACAGGCAAATGAGGTCATGTTCGTAGGTTATTATAATTGCGAGATTATGTTATTATAAGGCATAAAGAACATCGGCAAACATGATTGAAGGGCAGTAATGAAAGGATGGTGTCATATGATTGATTGATTGGTTGGTTTTGGAAAGGAAATGCTTTTTACATCAATGCCAACCGAGATGAGGGAAACATTATCGGGTGACTCCTCTCTTTTTATATTCTATGGAGTTCGTTGAGATCAGAGGCTATAGTTAAGCAAAAGCATTGGTTCTTTTGTTGACCTAATGGGGAGGTCATGGACCACTTTAAAAGGAACCCTATGCTCCTAAGAGGAGCCCATCACTTTGTAATTCTTGAGGAAAATATATACATTTTAAAAGGGTAAAATTACGTGGTGATATATAGTGGTATTTTCTTAGCGGATTCTCACTCTGTGATGGAGATTAATTTTGCTTCTTCGGTCAAGATGTCTCGATAATATTCTTGATTAGTTGCTGGGTTGTCTTGTTATCTTAACAATTCAAGGTCAGAAAACATAGCATATAACCAGCTTGTGCGCACCACGACTAATCCCATTACCC